AGACCAGACTTATTAGATTAGGTAAATTGCTGCTTGTACATTTTCTGTGGTTCCCTTGCGATTCACAGATTTTGGAAACTTGCTACCACAGAGGATCGGTGGTTAATTAAGAATCATTTTCAGGCCTGTAATGGTCACACTTGATATGATTCATTTGGCTTCTGATTGTCACTTCAGCTCCAGCTAAGCTCCTCATCAAGTTGACTCTTGTGGGCGCCAAGGTCAATCTTTTGTACTGGTTAGTATTTTTGTAGAGGAGTAAGGAGGTCCCACTGGAAATGATCCATCAACTCAAACCCCCAAGAACATAAAAATGCTACACACTTTAAAAACCACCTCAAGGATTAAAGCTAATCCTAGTCCCAAATGAGTCCTGTAGTTTTCACGCTCTACCTAAATCTCATACCCCAAGGAGGCACACAGAATTATGGTCACAGAGACAGTTAAGCCATTGATTTATTTAGTGCAATAGAGAAGAACTGAAGCAACAATCACAGGTTTCACTTTAAATGTAAAGCCCCCTATTTTAAATGAGAAGAAGTTCAAGTGACGGAGTCATTCTGGAAGGCTAGCTACAGTGCACATTTCCACAAAAAAATGCCGTTTGACAAGAAAACATTTTCAGCTAGCTAATTGCCTGTTTGGGCCCAATAAGCAAGCAGCTTGCTGCCCCATTCCTGTTCCTTGCTGCTTCTTCTTAAGATCTGGACTTTGGCCTATTTGTTTTTCCATCCCCTCAGCTGGACAGGCAGGAATGCATCTTGCACATGGGGAATGAATATTGAAATAAATAAGGAATGTCCACATCAATCAATCTACTTCGGTCTCTCTTGTAGAGAAACAGCAACTTTCCATGGATTATAGACTGAATTATCTAACATAAAGCTATTACTCTATAATTTCTAATGTCGTAAGAAGGCAATAATACCCCTTCAAAGGTATACCTACTTACAGGACCATATTAAATGTTTTTCCCATCTATAACAAAAGGACAGATACATGCCCAGTATACTCACCTTCTGCCAATCATCTAGGAATCCAAAGATCCCTAAAATGGTAATTACCAAACCATAAAAAGGAACTCTTAATCAATAGGCACTAACTTATGCCTGTCATTGTTTAGGCCTTTAGTCTGGTGTGTTTGATTTTTCAAAAAGAAAATAGCCAGCATGGGAGAGGAACTGTATCCTGAAATAGTAGATTTAATCCTTTGTTCCCCACAGTGGTCCAATCAACCAATTACTTCAGTGAGAGGAAATCTTCCACCAGCCAGAAAGACCCAACTGGGATAGGAACTTATGCAGGGGGAAGACTTTCCCCATGCCACAGTCCTGTTTGACTTAGTCCCCAAACCAACTAATAATTTTAAAAAGAACAATCATACCAGGACTAAATATATTCTCATATAACCCCAGTTCTCTATTAGCTCCATTGGCTTCCCATCAAAGTCCGGGCTCAATTCAAGGTGCTGGTTATTACCTATAAAGCCCTAAAAGACTTGGGACCAGGATACCTAAAGGAATGCCTTTTTCCCTATATGCCCTCCCACCCCCTAAGATTGGCAGCAGAGGCCCTCCTCCAGGAACCCTCTGTGAAAGATGTTAGGAGACAGAGTACCCAGAGGAGGGCCTTCTCTGCGGTGGCACCCCGACTAAGGTATGCGCTGCCCAGAGAGGTCCACCTGGCGCCATCATTATATGTTTTTCGGTGCCAGGCTAAGACCTTTTTATTTAATCAATATTTTAGTATGTTTTAATATTGAATTTTATTATTGTATTTTATTAACTTGCAGCCAGAGTGGATCATCAATTTATTTATGCTGTAAGCCGTCCAGAGACATAAGTAATTGGATGGCATATACATTTTATAAATAAATAAATAAATAAATGAAGATCATCTAGTCTGGCTCTGTGTTAGACTTGGATCTTGGATTTTGCTAAACAATTCTGTATCTGGTATGTAATGCAAAGAGAATATGGCAAGAGATACAGGAAGCATGTTCCTTGCTTTGCCCCAAGAAACTGCATGCAAGGTTATCAAGCAGTGCATAGAAACACAAAAGAAAATCACATGGAAAGTTCTTGGCAACCTCTACTAAATAGAGAAACCAGAGCAGAAAGCAAATTTTAAAGCCTTTTTGGACAGCTAAAGCCTTTTTGGTCAGGCAGTTAGAATCCTACAGAGGATAGATGAGCAAAAGTTTTTGTATACCACCTTGGTGTACGTAAGGATGAGGACAGTTTGCACATAATTGAATAACAAAAATTAAATTAAAGGTTATTGGAAATGGAATCAACATTCATGTTCTAAGATAGAATTTTAAAAATCAAGGGAAAACACCCAGTTTTGGAATGTTTATCTCAGTAAGCAAAAAAGACAAAACAGCAAATCAAATCTTCCAAGAATTAGGTGCTTTAACTTGGAGGCCTGCACTGAACAGGGGGTGGGTCACAATGGCCTTATTGACCACTCAAATTTCCCCTACTTCATCCTACAGCCCTTTCAAGGTTGTTTTTTCAGAAATTCCATTACAAACCTCCAAGCCTTAGTCACATCCACCTTCAGCGTTTTACTGGACCTCAGGGATTGGAATGATACAGCTGTACTACTGCACTAGTGTTCTCTGGTTAGTTCCAGAATAGCTATGTTTCATTTCTTGCACAAAAGAATCTCACATCAGTTACAGTTACAACCTGGTAATATACAGATTTTTTGGCAATGAAATATGAATTTTACATTTCGGAACAGGAAAATTGGGAATTTCTGGTAAGAATATATTGGCTTTTTCATAGATTTTAAATGTAAAAGCAGTCACATGTACTAGCAACAAAAAGAATGACGAAATATAAGAATATAACAGTATGTAGGGTAAACTCACTGATAACAGTTCTTACAGTGTAACTGTATGCATAATTCTTAGATGCATGTCTAATTTCAGTGGAATTTACTCCAAATAAATGTGCATAGGAATGTAGCCTTAGTGCATGATGGGTAAACTTGTGGGACAAGCAGAGTAAAATAGCCAAGGAGAAATTCACTCTTCTGAAAATGTAGATCACTAACTTATACAGCCAAATCATAGAAAAATAAGATTTAAGTATCTGTACTTAACTGATATGTGATTAGGAGGGCTTCCACACAGATAGATGGAAACCAACTTTCCCTAACAACTTTTTGAAAAAATTGTTGAACTTGCTAAGCAAATTTATACTAATACTTATGGTGCCGAAATCCACTGCAGTTTAGAATGTTGCCTGAAATGGCAAACTATATACAACTTCAGCACTACCTGCATTTGCTTAAGCAATTCTATAGTAATTGCCTCTTCAGTTTAAGTTGGAAGAAGACATAAGCATGAATGCAGATAATGTAGGTTGTAGTATGAAAGGAAGGGCAAGAACATGAGAAGTCAGTGCATCGATATTCTGCTTACCAACCATTCAATACTTCTTAAACAGTACAATTTAGTTCACAGTTCTTAACTGCCTAGATGGTTTTCTTGGAAAGATTTTTGTTTGGGGTTTGTTTTACGGTAAGTCAGAACTCTCCATATGCAGCATCAGAGTCTGCTTCATTATTTAGTGTTTTTGCACAAAATAATCAGTCATTTCAATCGATGGATTGAGAAATTCAGTAACATGCCTCTATATGAATAGCAATGCTAAGAAATCAAGTTTGTTCACATAGCAACTGGAAAGCTGCTAGCGGGGAGGGAACCATTGCACAAATGCTTTATACCAGGATCTGATAAGATACATTTTTAGTAAAGTCCTCTTTCTTTAAGTGCTGAATGATAGGACACAGCCCCACATCTATAGAAGGGATTTTAAATGCTTAATTATGCAACATAAAGGCCTAACATCTCTAAAAAAAGCAATTATTTTCAAGATCGGGACTAGAACCACCACAATCATTGATACAATGCTGTAGTCTCTCATCATGGCCAAAGAGGACAATTATTAGCATTGTATCAGTGGGGAGAAATGCTTAGCAGTGCATACTGACCCCATAGCTATTGATATGTAGTTGACATGCTACCCACAGAAATAGTAAGTCAACAAAACTTGCATCTAGTTTCAATCCAAATATTCAGGGTGCAACCCTATGGCCTCCTGAAATTGTCTGGAGAGCCATACGATAGTCTGGAATCCCAGCTCTAACCTCAGAAATGCCTTCCAAAGATGGAGCTGCAACACCACCCTCCACCAGCTTCATCCTCACAGCCAGTACAGCTCTTTCCATGCCAACAAGGCTCTGAAGGGTGCTCCAGAAATCCTGGTGGTGCCTCAGCCTCTCCTCCTCATGCGAAGCCATCTAAACCATCCTTGCTTCCATTATCTTCCCACTGGATGCCATAATCCTCCAAGTTTTGGGCAGCCATATCAGAAGGTGCCCTGGCTTACTTTTAAGGCCCAAATTTGAAGTCAGTAAGACATTAGAAATCTTTAGCTAATTATCAGTATAGGGATGTAATAAATATTTTGAAAACATACTGTGCAAATAGTTTAAGATTCTGTGGTAATACTTAAGACTAGAATTAAAGATTAAACTAAAAATTAATTTATAGCCAAATGAAGAACAAAACCCGGTCCAACAGAAACACAGATGTTGTATGAAAGGCAAGAACTGAAGCGTGATGGTTTCCTGTGAAGGAAGACTTCCCAAATTTAAAAATAATGTAATAAGTGTGATTGCAACCCCTTTCACCTACTGAACCTCAATTTGAACAAATGTCTCTTACTCTTCAGAGCATCTGCACTGCACTTGTAATATGGCAGGGGGCGCCAAGGACTTTAACTGCAGTTTCCTGAATTGTATCAATCCAGAAAAAAAGATGCCCAGGGAAAATCCAAGCATATGGCTTGTTGGTTAGGCAATATTTTAGGAAGCAGTAAAGAATGCTGGTTCCCTTTAGCATCGTAGTCCTCTGAGCAAAGCATGCATGGATATTTTGTTAACATCTGTTTAATTACTGTAACAAATGCATAAAGGTGCCTCACCTTGTTTTGAGTTGACATCTGAAGGGAGGTGTGACGGATGTGTCCCTGGAGAAAAGTGCTCATCACTGTAGGTGATAAGTGGAGTGAGAGGGTGAACGGCATGGGAAGGCTGCACCACCGGTACTTTGTTTGACTGCAAATGAAAACAAGAAGCATTGGCAGCATTACTTTTGGCCAGAGCGGGCAGCTGTTTTATTTTTTCAACAGTGCTGATAAAAATAATGCATTTAATTTGCTGGTTTAAACTTGGGATGGGCAAGTCCGCTGGGTATTGGACTTGGGTATTGTCCAATACCCAATAAATAAATAAAATTTATCAATTGCAGTTTCTCATTATTTTAGTCACAAATTCGGTTTGTCCTGAAATTTGGGGATTTTTTAAACCAAATCTTTTACGTTCCCATCATCCCAAACTATCAGTAAAAGACCCATCATGAAAATGTAATTTTTTGTGCACAATTTTCCAAACAAATTTATTTTTATGTGAAGTATCCTAATGTATACATTCTTGCAAGCAATTTTCCTCATATAAAGCTTTTTGACCAGTACTTTAACTAATGTATGAATCTCTGTGAACTGTTCCCTAATATACCAGTGTTTGTGCACACTTTATTAATCTGAGAATTCCCTTGCAAAATCACAAGAAGTCTAAATTGGAGATAACTGAATTTTGGTTCATGTATTGGTTCCTAAGCGCATAGTTAGGTGAGCTTTCATTGAAATTTGAAACTAAATAGTTTCTCCTTTACATCTATTTTTAGTTGACCAATTAGTTAAATTTACATCTGAACGTGCTCTCTCTCTCTCTCTCTGTCACTCAGACACACACACACACACACACACACACACACACACAGAGTACACACTCCTCAGTCACTGAACACATCTCAAGTCTTCCACAGGGATCTACAAACTTGAGAACGGCCTACCAAGGGCCTGATATTTATCCTGGTTTTGCTTTCTGCCCGATACTGAAAAATAAGGTGAGGCAGTACTCTGCTAAACATTCACAGCACGTTATGGCTCTTGGGTTGCTGTTAGCACAAAGGGTCGGATGCCATTTGGATGACCAGTTATGCCTTACCAAAAAAGAAGAAATGAATCACCAAATGCAAGAGCACCTGCTTGCTTAAAACTTACACATGCAGGTTTACATGTATAGGTGAAGCTTTAAAAACAATAGCTATACTTTAAATAGAAAGACTACATCTCACTAGGTGACTCTGTGTGCCTGCTCTGTCTGCTGCTCAAGTGCTAACCGTTGATGGGTAACTTGAAGCCCCCTGTTCTCCCAGCTTATTCCTCTACCATTTTAAGCCAGATTTGGATGGGACTCCTCTTCAGATAGTGGGCCATTTCTTGCCAGCTCTCCAGAACAGAGAACTGACCTCTAAAATGCAGGATCCCTGACCAGCCTTCACATTGCCTAAAATTAGTAGCCTCCTCTCCCAGGTTGGCTATCCAGTCAAGTTCAAAGGCAAGGTCTGGGAGGGTACCAGCCTCTTGAGGAATATGCTGGTGTGTAGAGTGAAGTACAGAAGTACAATTAGAGGTCCAAAATGTTTATAATCAGAGCATGTCATCTGAGTCTAAATTTAGGGCATCTATTCTCATTAACGTGGCTTCAGCCATTACATTTCACACTGTGAACAGAAATGTTTACTTATATCTCCATGGAACCATCTATATTAATGCTATAACATGCAATGCTGATGCTCAAAGACCATTACCATTTTTAAAGTGCCAGATGATATTCTGCACTGGGGTATAAGCCAGGTTTACAGGCATTAAAAAAAAGTTAACAAAATGTACCTCATGAATGTTTTCAATTAAAGACTGCAACTTTACATGAGCAGGAGGAAAGTTATTTAATTTATAACGTTGCCTTTTCTCTGTAAGCTGGCTTCCTAGTGTACCTTGACAACAAACCTGTAAGGTAGATTAGGCTGATAGTGACTGACCTAATGTTACCCAGTGAGTTTCATGGCCAAGTGGGGACTAGAACGTAGCTCTCCTGAGTTCTAGTGCAAAACTCTAACCATTACACTAGGTTTGGTAAAATGCTACCCACTCTTTCATTTCTAATTTAGAGTTTGTCCACAAGTCTACTTTCCAAAGTAGGTTCCTTCCAATCAAGTTTGTCCTACTGTAATGCCATCCTAAAAAGGTAGACAAGATATAGTTAGAATATTTATGATGCCACAATACATACATTTGTACCCAATGCATTTTGACTGTGGACAAGAAGATTCCCAATACCACTTGGATAGTTTTCTATTCGCCTTCATCCCCCTTATTGTTCTCTATCATTGTGGAATTAAATGAAGTACTGTCAGTGTTATTTTTGGGTATTTTTTTATTACTGAAGCACTGTAAGTCATACCAGAACTTTGCTCTGAGAAGAAAAATGTCATTTATTATTTATCATTTATAGTATTATTAGCAATACTAATGTGCCAAAAGTCTCTGACTGGGTGATGGTCATGCTGCCCAAGTAGTCTTACCTTATCTGAGATATTAAAGTAAAACAGAGGTGATATACAAGCCAACTGTGTGCAGTATTTGCTAAAATTTAGTATAGCATTTCAAAAACCCCAAGTCATTCTATTGATACATACAGCAATTCCCCCAAGCTGAAGAAATGCTGGAGTTACCAGAATAATTCCTATTTTTACCCTACAGCCTAAATCTATGCAAAACATGAAAAATGTTTGAGACTCATTTGCATTATTACACCATGTTATGTCGTTTAATTTTCTCTTTTTTCTGTTGATGGGCTATATTATCAAGGAAAGCTTCAGCATATTTTTTCTAGACACTGTGAAACCCCCTTCAGCAATTTTTTGGCCACTAATATAAAATCATGGCAGATGAGTATATGGGGGTGGGAGGCTGCTTCAGACAAAGTGTAGGTATCACTTATAAATTACTCCATATATAACATACTGGTAATCAAGGAAAAAGTGAGATTTCTTAACAGATTAAGACTGATTTGTGAATTCTAATATGATTCAAAACTGCTGGGCCATATTTAAAATACAACACCAGGGAGGTGCCTCTGCATTGGAATAAGCTATTCTAGTTTTGAACGAGCAAAAACAAAGCCAGTGTCATATTTCTGCCGACTTCTTTTGTTTGCATAGTTTCCCTTGTTTTCAGAGCACCACCTTAAGGATCCTACATTAGAAAGTGGTATCTTCTTAATGCCTGACCTATCCCTCCAGTCATATAGCTCAGAATCTTCTGCATGAATTTTTGCTAAATTATGCTATCCTTGCTCTCCTCTTAATTTTACGGTTTTCAACACAGATTTGCTTTCCTGTGGGAAGGAGATAAGAACCTGAGGATTTTAATTTAAGCTTTGGCCTTGTCTTATATTTTGCAAGAAGGAGAGAGAGTGAGCAAGAGAGAAAAAGCAGTGCTTCTCCTAGGTGTTTTAAAACCAACAAGCATTAGGGCCATTATTTGTGACCAAATAAAAGCAGTATGAATTTCTATTAAGATATATGAGTTGGCTTCCAAGAGAGATAGCTCTAACTGCCATGAATCTTTCCTTTTCTTCAACTCACAAATTGGATGCTAAGTTTTAGATGATCCATAGCTACTTGCCTCAGTTTTCTGAGAAAACATCTACTGCTACTACATCACAATTAATACTACTTTAAAGACAAAAGTGTGTCAGAAAATACACTGGAACATCTAGAAGAATCCTAGTAACTTTCTGAAAGACGGATATGGACAGAAACTTCCATGACCACCACAGAATTAAAATAGCCAACTGGAAATCATAGCTTCAGCCCAACCCCTAGAGGTTTCTTTTACAATATAAATCCTGCAGGTGAGCAGTCCCACCATAAAATTCTTGTAGCTGCTTTATTTGCATGAGCCGACACCCTCACAACCACTCTTCTACCTTCTCCTTTCTAGGGACAGCAAAGATATCTGCTTATGCTCTTGGGTGCTCTGTTTTGGCTCCTGCATTGCTGTAGTGTGTAAAAGGCAGGTCATTCATTGCTAACGTCTCTCTGGATGACCGTAATAGGGCAGAACAGACTAAAGACTGTTTCTCCATGGTTTGAGTCAGGCAGGAGTGGGTGCAGCCAGTGTTGCCAATCCTTCAAACATAAGATATTTTAGACTACAATTCCCATTATCCCTCATGATTGGCCATGATGGCATCAGCTGATAGGAACTGCCATCCAAATTATCCAACACTCCAATGCCCTAGGTAAGAGAAGGCTGCTTCTTGATGCTAAGCTATCCTTTGACATTTTATATGCACTACTATATGAATGTCTGTTACAGATATGTGTGAACATTGTTAAAGTGAACAAACATTGTCAAACTCAAGAAGATGGACAATTACACAATACATTAACAGAAAACAGTATTTTTAAAACTCTAGAACAATATCACCTTTTACAATGTAAGTAATTTAAATGCTATTTAAACAGTAGCACCATCTATTTATATATATTCTATTTGTTATATAACTATTTACCCGCTAAACAACCCAGAGGTTCAAGTTTGCATGTCTTGCTGCACAACCTATAGAGGAGTTGATTGCAAGTTGTGTACTCTAAAATGGAAGACTTGGACTCGATTTTTAAGCCAACTGGTTGTCATTACATGTGAACAGGGCTTATGAGTTGCCAGTGTGGATTGCATCTGTATCTGGTACTAGAAGTTACCTGGATCTACAGTTTCCTGAACACAGAAGAAGCCTATGACTGTGTCCACATGACATGTTAAGCCAAGGGTCTCAAACTCGCGGGCCAATTGCCGGGACGGGCGGGGCACGGGGAGGGGCCCTGCAGCCTTCAAAGCGCTGGCAGCGCCCGGGCCGGCCTCCGGGAGCGACGCGGGATGTGCGGCCCACCACCACCACCGTGATGCAGCCCAGCCTCACCCAGACTCTACTTCCAGCAGCCCCCAGGTCAGTTGAGTTGAGACCCCTGTGTTAAGCCATCAGGTTTTTGCAGTGGCTTATAAATACAGGTACTGGGCATTAAGAGCCATCTAAACCAAGATGGCATTTTAAGTCCATGGGAGGACAAATCCTTAAAAAGCCAATGGGCAAGTGTGGCCAAAACAAACCAAGAAGGCTTGGCATTTTGGCCAAATGCCAATGAC